TGTTCTAGATATTCTTGATGAGACAGGTTTGACTGGTGCCAAGCCCGCTACGTTTCCTATGGCTCAGAACCATGGTCTCCAATCTGCAGAGGGTCCATCTTTCTCGGAACCAGATCAATATCACCGGTTGGTTGGGAAACTTATCTATCTTACCATTACACGACCAGATATTAGCTATTCGGTCCATATTCTCTCTCAGTTTATGCAAACTCCAAGACTTACGCGTTGGGATGCTGCTCTTCGAGTTCTTCGCTACCTAAAGGGTCACCCCGGCCAGGGCATTCTCCTAGGACAACATTCATCACTCTCTCTTGTGGGCTATTATGACTCAGACTGAGCTAGTTGTCCCAACACACGTCGTTCTGTTACAGGTTATTTTGTTACTCTTGGAGGCTCCCCTATCTCGTGGCGGACAAAGAAGCAAGCCACAGTGTCTCGTTTATCCGCAGAAGCTGAGTATAGATCCATGGCTACTCTTACATGTGAGCTTCTTTGGCTCAAAAGTCTCTTCTCTTCCTTGCATATCAAATTGCCACCAATGCAAATTTTTCGGTGATAATAAAGCTGCCATTCATATTGCATCTAATCCGGTGTTTCATGAACGCACTAAACACATCGAGTTAGACTGTCACTTCATTCGTGATCATGTGCGTTCTGGGGTTATCATTCCTTCCTACACCTCCACTACGGAACAACTAGCAGACTTATTCACTAAAGCTCTTGGCGTGCACGTGCCTTGTACATACTTGTACGCATGCATGCAGTATACTAGAGATTAGATTAATTTTGTAACTATTTTTGTGTACATTATTTTAGTAGTTATTCGGCTCCAGCTATTAGCAATATATTAGGAGCAAGACTCTCACCCATCTAATCGAGCAGCGTAGCTTTAGATGCATCACCAAGTTGTATATATACGGCAGCATGTTCAATTGAATAAAGTGATCGATATTATCTCATACATTCGTACTTTTCAATTTTTATTCCTAATTTTTGATAAACTTTTCTTCACAAAAGTTTATTAGTTTCATAAACTAAATAATATTTAAATTTTTAAAATAAAAAAATGAATAAAATTCATGACAACTTAGGTCCTAAATTGATAGTTTTCAATCATTCAGGTCCTAAATTGATAGTTTTCCATCATTCGGGTCCTATATCGATACACTTGATCTTTCAGGTCCCAGATTGATAATTCATCTATCCTTCGGGTCCTGAATTGACAAAATTCGCATAAAAAATACGGAGCATATTAATTGATTTTGAACAAACTTTTCTTTTCTCGCATATTTTTTTTCCTTCCATATCTCCCTTATATTTTCCTTGTTGTTTGCTTTCTCTAGCATTTCTGGAAATCCAAAAAGACCCTATAAAGATCATTTTTTTTTGAAAAAATGCGGCTTATATTGATAAAAGAACATTCAGCGAGGCATAACAAAGATAAAGAAACCACTCCCAGCCATCAACCCTCAAACCAGCCGGAGAACCAATCACCCTAGACAGAGCAATATGATTCACTGATCCTATAACGGGTCTACATGAGCCTATCATGGCCAAAGTAGAATCCTCATCATCTCCACCTAATGTAAGTGTTCGCAAGCAAAAAACAACAGAAACGGAAACAACCATGTTCTTGGAAACCAACAACCAAATGAAATAAATAAAAACGTGTAAATTATGCCAAATCTTGATCACTACGAACAAGCTCCAACATCCTCCCTTTTCTGCAGAAATCATCAGCCCTCTCGGTGCGTTTGGGAGCCCACAAAATTCTTCATGAAACAGAGGTGGTTCTGGAGGAGGACGAGCTCTACCAACGTTTATGCACTCTAGAAGAAAGTAGACAGAAACCTCTGAACAGACGCAGCTAGCCAGAACACGAACATAACTCCCCACATCGAGAGAGACAAACCACCCGGAACACCAGTATCCGGGAAAGAACCGCCATAGAACAAAATCAACACAAACAGAAGAGAATAACAATCCAATTGGATCATACCTCTATTAACAATCTCTAAGTGTTGATGTCACCATCGAATAGTTGGATCACTGGATTGAAATCACAGGCCGAGAAGATGAAATTAATGGGAGAAAGCTAATAAAAGATTGGCTTGAATGGATCAGATCGAGCTCCGCGGCGCTAGGGTTAGTTGCCGCATGCCACAAATCAATAATAGTTCTATAAAGATCATTTTTGAAAAGCAACAAGTGTTTACCTTGTTGGAAAAATGTGTTAAAAATTGCTTTAAATGGTAATTCAGTGGAAAACAAGTTGTTTATGTTAGTCCTCAATCTTAAATTATGCATTCGCCGGCCTGAATTAAAGTTTGCTACATAGTTTGCTTTAGTCTCAATTTCAATTAGTTGAAGCTGACACATCCGTTTCTGATTGCACTGTAATACATATGCACGAAGTATCACAAATTCAATTCAGCAGGGAGGTCCAGCAAGGAAGATTCCTATCAGCAAAGGAATTGAATTTTTGGCCGCAGGGACGAAGCATATGCTGGACGGGTGGAGAAGGCAATGAATTTTTGTCCGCTCTGTTTTAATTAATAATAATACACCGTTGTTTTGGGATCGGCACACCATGCACATGGTGGGGTGATCCTACAGAGTAATTTGTAATTGCCAATTAAAAGTGATATAGACTGAAGACAATATTGTAATTTCGTGTATAATTTGCATAAACTAAACTTTAATTTAAAATTTACAAACCCCAAGTTAATTAGTTTGTCAATTAAATGTTACTATTAAGTCGGTATACGACGTTGTTCTATATTTGGTTAATAGTAAGAGTAGTTAATGAACAGTCATTATTAATAACTACCCTTGATGAATTGAAGATACTCCTCGATTAAGTATTCGAGAGGGGATAAATTAAAGATATAATCGGGATCGACTAACATCTCAACAAGTGAAAAGTAGCAAAGCCAAGTTCTTTATTTCTTTGAATTAAAACACATATAAGTCGTTCACCTAATTGTTTAATTAAATTAAACCACACAATCCCAAAACGTCCCTTTTTAATTACTAGTTTCAGAAAAGAAAAGCATTCCTTTCCCTATGGATACGAACTCTTACTACACTATACCATGTATAAGTGTTAAGTATTGAATTTATTTTGAGTCACATACGACTTTAGTGCTGTCAAATTTGGCGCCATTGCCAGGGAAAGGCAATTATTTTTGTCTTTATTTAGAAGGAAAAAAAATACTCCCTCCGTCCCTTAAAACTTTGCCAAGTTTGACCGACACAGGATTAATAAAGTAAAAATTGTAAGGTTGAGGTTTGTGCAAAGGAAAGAGAATTAACTAAAACCACATTTGTAATACTTAGTATATAATAATAATAATATAAAAACAAAACATAAACAGATCCAGATGCCAACCATGAGTTTTATTACAATTCGATCAGGGTTGGAGGATGAGGCGGAGGCGGTTGACGAGGAGGAGAGTTCTGAGGAGGACGATGGTTCACCACTTCAGAAGAGGGCTAAGAGAGAAGACGAGGAAAGTGATAGTGATGGTTATTGTAGGCCGACACTACCGGAAGAGCAAACAAAGTAATTCTTAGCTTACCAGGCTCGAAGGGCATTGAGAATGATGCAACCCATTAAGATATTGTTTATGAGGCAACTTGTCCTGAAACAAAGATGCACAAAGCCGAGAACCCGCAGAGTCCGGAGCTAGAACTGGTATGGGTTATTCGAGCAAACACGAATTACTACATTTATTTCATAACCATGGTGGTTAAAGAGGCAACTTATCAAGCAACCGCCCACTACGCGGTAGCAAAAGACGGAGAGGAGCTTTTCCGATTCTACTTTGTAAGTCCAGAACCCAAACACCATACCATCTTCTTCCTCCATCACCTGAGGCATCTAAAACAACTCCATCGATCCTCCAACGGTCGATTGGAGCCCCATTTGACCGGGACCCCATACCGCCAACATTCCACCCAGATCAAACACAGCTAGTGCAGCTCCCATCTCAGTCACCATCATAGCTAAAATAGCCAAAACAAGCATCGGAAAATCGGGTCTCGCAACCCTAGCCGACGCAGATCCACAGTCACATTCAAAACCACGAAAAGCCATTGGCACCAATATAAAAAACAACAATCCACTACCTTCTTTGTCTGTGGGTATCTATCGCTCCCCTTATTGTCGCCTGACTAATTTGAATCGCCGAAGCAACATAGATGCGGAGCTAGAGAAACACGAAAGCAACATGGAACAACTACTGATCGTTTACCTCCAGCCTAATTGAATCGGCGCCTTCCTCTTGCCCAACTAAATCGACGCAGTCCTTGATGCGAGAAGCCTTCACCTACTTCTAGCAGTACGAACCCGTACCTGAGAATTAGAACCCACGGCGCTGGACGAAGCTTTGCCCCGCCGTTCTCCAACCTCACCCTAGATAAAGCTAGGCCGTCCACAAAGCTTAGATTTTTGGAGTGAGTATTATTAACATTTTACTTCTATTCAGAGCAACTTTCCCAAAAATAGTAAAGAGATCGTTTTTTGTTCCCCAAATAAGAAAAATTATTGTCTTGTTTTGACATTAATTAACGTTAATCATAACAGAATTTTTAAATTTAACACTAATTATTCTTAGTTTTTTAGAAGAAACGATTTATATTATACTCCGTATCAGAATTCCAACGGATAACATCAAGACTGAGAATAGAGACAAGACAACAAAACTAGAAAACATAGCTTGATCATAATAACTATTCTTGTTTAAAAAATAAAAATGTGACAAACATATTTTGACATTCCAAATTGTTTTCAGTACTACACACTTGTATTTCTTTATGCATGGCTTTACTAATTTTGTAATTTACCAATGCTAGATCAACAGAAAAGTCTAGCAGAACACGAATAAGATCTCTGGTGTTTTTTAGGGTATACTCCGCATAAAATTAAGGAGGTGTTTGAATCTGATTTTTAAAACTGATTCTGTCGAAAGGAGTAGAAACAGAAGTTGGAGTGTTTGAATGAAAGTGTAGAAATGATTCCGGTGCTCTAATTTACTCCTAGAATCAGTTTTTTTTAAAAGTCAGAGAAGACTAGCTTCTAAAAAGTGGAGTGCAATTTTGTTCACCCCTCCTTGGAGAGTGGATATAACCCCTCCCTATTTGCTTGCCATGCGGCAAAAAAATGAAATGACAAATGACAACATTTGAGAGGTGATTTCACCCTCTTGAACAAAATTGCACTCTAAAAAGTGATGATTTTACTTCTAAACAAAAGAAATAGAAGCATGGAGTATTTTCAAACAGGGGTTTATGTTTAGGAGCCCGTTTGGTAGCACCAAAATCGGCTGTTTTGGCTGATTCTGCTGAAATTTATGATATTCTGGCTGGAGTGGCTGTTTTGGCTGATTCTGCTGATTTAAGAAAAAAATATTTTAAAAATATATTTTATTAACAAATTAAAGAAAAAATTATATGTAAATATAGCTAAAATGGTCCTCTACAGTAACTTCAGCCAATACAGCCAGAAAAGTAACTCCAACCTTACTTTTTCGGCTTATTACACAATTCAGCGCGCAAAAGTAAAAGTTACGTGTTTGGTGAAAAAGCGGGCTGATAAGCCTGATAAGCCGAAAACAGAGTTCTCCAAACGGGCTCTAGATTTCAAACAAGAACCCACTGTTGATGGAATCGCCAGCGGCCGTATCTGCTGCTTCCTTCGCCGATGGATCTAAAGCGGAGAAGCATCCCGATCCGTTCTTTAGGCGCTTTGAATACCCCCTATTGTCAAAACGTCTCAGGAAGCCTGATGAAGCCGCAGGATGTCGTGAATCGAAGGAAAGCGCCTATTTTCCAAGTTTCACAGCAAAACCGCCCAGAGAATTTGTATGGGACACGCCAGAATCGACCATCATTCATGCCGGCGAGAGTGAAGATGAATCTGCAAGCGGCAGCACTGGTTTGAGCATACCTTCTCCACCACCATATGACGATATGGAGTATTATAACCCTTCAGGGCCTTCACCTCCCCCTCCTGATTCACCTCGGACTATCCAGAAGAGAATGGAAGAGCGGCGTAAGATTGCTGAAGAGAAGCTCGGGGCTTGTTCCATGAAAGAGGGTCGTCAGTTCCATGAACCCACGATTTCACCCACAAAAATAATGACGGAATCATCGCCGGCAGCCGTATCTGGTGCTTCCTTCTCCGGTGGATCTAAAGCAGAGAGGAATCCCGATCCGTTTCTTAGGCGCTTTGAATACCCAGTGTTGGCAAAACGTCTTACGAAGCCTGATGAAGCCGCAGGATGTCGTGAACCGAAGGAAAGCGCCTACTTTCCCAGTTTCACAGCAAAACCGCCCAGAGAATCTATATGGGTCACGCCAGAATCGGCCGCCATTAATGCCGGCGAGAGTGAAGATGAATCTGAAAGCTGCGGCAGCAGCCCTGGTCTGAGCATACCTTCCCCACCACCGTATGACGATATGGAGTATTATAACCCCTCACCCTCCCCTCCCATTTCACCTCGGACTATCCAGAAGCAAATGAAAGAGTTGAGAAAGACTGCTGAAGTTTGAAGAGACTCATGGGGGTTATCATGTGAAAGAGGGTGGTCACTTCCCGGAGATACACTATAGGGCTGCAAAAGAAGCTCTTGAATGGTACAACTGCAAGAACAGGGCACAGTTCAAGCTTCTTCAGTTGGTGGAGGTGGATATTGCTGCTGTTTCTGGATTCGTTTTCTTTATCACCATGAAGTAGGGCTAGACTCGGTTCGGGCCGGGCCCGGTTCGGGCCTTGAACCGGCCGGGCCTCGGTTCACCAAAAGGAGGGCCCGGGCCCGAACTGGCAGGTGACCGGTTCCGGGCCGGTTCCGGGCCAGACCGGGCCGGTTCCGGGCCGGTTCACCCACCCCATTTTTTTTTTTTGATTTTTTGGCTTCTCTTATTTAACCCCCTACCCCTCCCCCTCAACCCCAAACCACCCCAAACCACCTCAAATGGCCCAAAATACCTAATCCTACCCAAAAATTAAAAAAAATTCAAAAAAAAATTAAAAAAAAAATTATTCCGGCCCGGACCGGGCCCGAACCGGCCGGGCCGGTTCACCAAATAGAGGGCCCGGGCCCGGAACCGGTATCCACCGGGCCGGTTCGACCCGAACCGCCGGTGGACCGGGCCACCGGGCCGGGCCGGGCCGGTTCACACAGTAACCGGGCCGGGCCGGGCCGGGCCGGTTCACACAGTAACCGGGCCGGGCCGGTTCCGGTTCGGGCCGCCCGGCCCGAGTCCAGCACTACCATGAAGGCAGTGGATGGTAATGATCCTGCTGCTTCTCCGGTCACTTTCTCGGCCGAGTATTATCACAAGATATACGATCCAGACGATGAGGTCCTGGACTGCAAGCTTATAAGCTAATTAACTGCATCTAGCACAAGCACAGCCTTCTCCATGGAAGCATGGGTAATGATTTGTCGTGTGCTTTTTTTTTGTCATCCTTTGCCTTTTTAAGTATTCTTCTTCTCCTAGAAGTGAGATTTTTATGTAGCAATGGTGTGTGATGAATTGATCAATAGACTATGAAAGAGTTATTCACAATGCAGGGAGTGAGTTATAGTTATGAGCATGAAGAAAGGAAATGTTGGGGCAATATAATGACTTGAATTGAGGGACTGTGATCAGAAAAGAAGGGCAGTGTAGTGATACTAATGGAGTTTGTGTTTTTTTTAACAAAGAAGACTTATGTTATAATATTAGACACTCGCAAAGCAGCTACGAAACAAATACTTCCATTTCGGTCACGAGTCCTAGGATTATACACAGAACTGTATGTGTAACAAACACAACAATTCGCTAATCAGTCAGCTGGCAGCTTGAAGCTGACCAAAGGAAAAAATATTGCCCCACAGTTGCTCAAAAAACGGATGCTCCAACTAGTAATCCAAATAAACAACCTAGATTGAAACTGACTAAACCATACTTGAATAGACCAGACCAGATATAAACAGATCAGGTCAGTTTGTTTCTAATCCAAGAGATACTCACTTTAATGCAGCATTAAGAATCCTCAAATATGTCAACAACTCTCCTGGACTTGGCTTATTCTATTCTTCTTCCAATACTCTCTTACTATTCAAGCATTTTCTGATTCGGATTGCGGGATTGGGCTACATGTCCGTCCACAAGAAAACCAATCACATGTTTCTATGTATTCCTTGGAAGTTCTCTAACATCCTGGAAGTCCAAGAAACAAAGTACAATTTCAAGAACATCTTCTGAAGCCGAATATCACTCTCTAGCATCGTTAAGTTGTGAGCTCCAATGACTTCAATTTTTACTTAAGGACATATATACCAATGTTAGTCTACCATTTTGTGTATACAATGACAGTCAGTCGGCCATTCAGTTTGCTAAAAACCCTTCCTTTCACGAACGAACAAATCAAATAGAAGTGGATGGTCATATCATCTAGATCAAGTTGATGAATGTTTCATCAAATTGTTCTTTGTTTCTTTAGTTCATCAAGTGGCTGACTCCTTTACCAAAGCATTATATCCAACTACTTTTCAGCAGAGCATTTCCAAGCTTGGTCTGCATTCCATTTATGATCCAGCTTGAGCGAGGGTATTAACTCAACAAAAGCATTTCATGCACGTTCATACATGTTTACGCGAAGAAGCAGATACTACGGCATAACTTTGTATTAGTTTGCTGTTAGATGTTAGTTGGATAGTTAGATAGATATTTTTACATTCATTTGTATTTTGTATCTCTCTACTGTATAAATAACTCTACACCAGGTCTGTATCAATACATAAGATCATCACATCAATTCTTCTTCTTCCTTTAGTTTACAATAGTTAATAATAACTGGAAGTTAAACATTGTATCAAAGAAAACCACAACCGCGTTGAACATAATTGCTGTTATAGTTCTGTAGTCTGAATTTGGTTACATTTGCTATTTCATTTATGTCTTTTGTTAATCATTCAAACTTCTTCTGTATAAATAATAATGCTATGTATCAATTTGATGCAAAGAAGAGCGTTAGATAGCCGCTATTTGTCAATAAAAGTAAATAACCGCTATACATATAAATAAGTTAATAACACACACATATAGAGAGAGAGGAAAGTTCATGTCAGGACCTCAAAAAACGGACCTCCGTACGGACCTCCGCGTTTAGGTCCCTTCCCAGTGGATTTTTTTGATGAAACTTTTTCAGCATGTTCTTCATCAAGTCTAGTTTATCCATACCAAATTTTAGCTAAAAAATCCATCGGGAAGGCAGTCAAATGATTTTTGGAAGTTAACTGCATTTTATATGTATATAAAGTGCGCGGTTATAAGTTGTGATTTATTGGTTATAAGTTCCTATATTTAGTCTATAAGTTTACTGCGTTGTAAGATCAGATACAAATTCAAGGGCTAAGATTACTTCTCACTTCTCATTTTAAGGGGCACTTCTCACCTGATCTTTATATATATATATATATATATATATATATATATATATATATATATATATATATATATATATAGACAAAAGTTCATGTCCGGAATTCCGGACAGGAACCGCCGTCCGGACGGTGGCGTTTGGGCGCCTTCCCGGTGTCTTTTTTTGATGAAATTTTTATGGCATGTTCTCCATCAAGTCTAGTTTATCCACACAAACATTCAGCCAAAAACTCAATCGGGAAAGTCGTCAAATAATTTTTGCAAGTTAACTGGTCCGGAATATGTATTTTCCGGACCAGTTAACTTGCAAAAATCATTTGACGACCTTCCCGAATGAGTTTTTGGCTGAATTTTTTTGTGGATAAACTAGACTTGATGAAGAACATGTTATAAAAATTTCATCGAAAAATTCCACCCGGAAGGCGGCCAAACGCCGCCATCCGGACGGCAATTCCTGACCGGAAGAGTACTCTCTCTCTCTCTCTATATATATATATATATATATATATATATATATATGTATATATATATGTGTGTGTGTGTGTGTGGAATCGGCTGGGAAAACCTGTTCCCGCCCGATTCCATTGTGGCGAACGCTATATGCTGGTCTCATGCGCAATAAGTGGACATGTGTCGCAAATGAGAGATATTACGTTGCAACTTGCAAGCATTTTAAAAGTAATACTCATTTGCTTATGACATTGACACTTGTACGTAGATGGTTAACACGTGACACAATTATGATGTGTATTATTGTCTTTTTTTACCGTGCCTATTTTTGTGTAAAAGTATTATTATTAAGTGTTATTAATATTTAATGTTCAGATTTGGTATTCACGTGGGCCCACCATCCAAATTATTAAGTGGTAAGAATTACAAGGTCTTACTATTTAAACCCTGTTAATGATGTTCGACGTGACACAATTTAATTTATAAATACAATTCAATGTTTAGATAAAACCATCTATCACACACATACACACATAATATACAGATGGCACCGCTAGAATGTCTTTGGGCAGTTTCTACCACGTTCGGTAATCCACTGCACACGTCCAGTCCCAATTTCAAATAACTGCCTCTCTTAATACTTCAAATACATGTTTCGGCGTAGAATTTAATTACGCTTGGCCGCAACCTATTGCAGATATACACAAACTCTTATGGTTACTATTAGCAAGATGCTTTACAATAAAAGGGCATGAGATTAACAAGTCCGGGACAAACTGGGCACTAAGAGTGAGGCTTATTCGAGCATAGTCTAGCCCATCTTTCAGTAACAGGAGTAACACAAATACTTTGGAATGCGTGCTCCATGACTCTGAGGTACAAGGAAGGACAATTGTATAGCTTGAGGAACTTCATTGTGGCTCCTAATGACTTGAAGTACAAGATAACAACACTGACGTATAAGATCCTGTGTTCAACCATATAAGGCCACGATGGTTGACTTCAATGACGGAAACTTTTCTTCTATTTTGTTCAACTTTAGGCCATTTGTGCAACTTGGATACACAAACCAAGTTATCAAGCGTGAAGAGTTAAAGATATTGATATGCAATGACGATGGTACCTCGAATTCATCCACATTGAATGTATATATATCCAGAAGTTTTTTAGAATGGTTTTTTTAATCATAAGTTTTTTAGAATGTTGTTTAATGTCTTCTTTTTTAGAATGTTTAATGTCTTCAAAGTGTTTGTTTAATATCCACACTATTGTTAGTTGAATAAATATTTCCTACAAAAATATTCCAATATGTGCCTTACATTATTATGAACAAAAACACGAATACACTATTGTCCCGTGCATCGCAAGGGTACAATATTAGTATCAAAGAAAGCTCAGATACCACACCTTGGTGTTTGATGGTTCTCAGAAACTCCATATGATTTAAGTGAAAATGAAACTAGCATTATATTTTAAGTAAGAGAACGATAAAAAAAATGCATTGTAAACAATTCAAAGGAAAACTTCTAAATTAAATTAAAAGGAAAATGTTAAAAAACGTATAGAAATGAAAAGGTTGAAAGCAAAATTAAAAAAAAAGTTTAAAATGCAAAGAAAACTGTAAGACAGTGCAGGTTTATGTAATGTAATTATTTTAAAACATATACTCCATAATTTATCAATAAAATATTAATAATAAGAATATATAAAAATAAATGTTTGAAATTAATAAAAATTGAAATATATAAATATAGGAATATATATATATGTGTGTGTGTGTGTGTGTGTGTGTGTGTGTTTGGGAGAGTTTGTATTTGATCTCTATATATCTGTGTATGCGCGCGCATGTGTGTGCGTGCTCGCGCGTGTGTGTGTGACACAATAGGAAACTTTTGAAAAAATTAAAAATGAAAATAATATTTTAAGAGATATCAAATCTTGAAATTGTAAAAAAATCGTATATAAAATAAAATATAATAAATTATTTTTCAAAGTAATAAAAGATATGAAAATAATTAAAAATATTTAGAAGAGTTAAAATTTATAGAA